CTTTGCTTTGTCATAATACTTTTAAAGATACCTCTTGCTATATACAATATTATACGCGCCTCCTCTGAATCCAAAATCCAAAGCACTGGTGAGAGTGGATACTTAAAGAGATAATGGGAGGTAAAACTCCATAAAATTCCTAAAGTAGAAAACTTAAGAATCTGGTTACATTGTCCTATGGTTCTGTGACATATGGGGATGCCACCTTGCTGATTCTCCTGGAAAATTCCTAAGTCTGTATGTAGAGAAATTTTTCGTGGCTCCTGGACCACTTAGATGAAAGGAACACCAGCTTCAAGAAAGGTTTGCCCACTCGAAAAAACAGAAAGTAGAATAGTGGTTGCTGGAGGTGAAGAGGAGGTGGGGAAAGGAAGTTGTTCAATGGGTAGGGGTTTCGCTTTGCAAGATGAAAAAGTTCTAGAGATCAACAGTGCAAGAATGTGCATACATCAACACTACTGTACTGTACGCTTAAAAATGGTTAAGATGGTAAATTTTGTTATGTGCTTGTTACCTTTTTTTTTTTTTTTTTAAAGCCTGGTTTGCCCACTAGGCCTTATCATATGCCTCACAGTGAGGCTGGCTCATACTAGGCCTTTGATGAACACTTACGAATTGAATCAAAGGCAGTACAATTAGGTCAGGGAGGAGAGTCAGTACATTGTGGGTTACAGGGACTGTGATGACATCTGAAATGACGAATTGTATTTCTAAGTCATCCAGCCTCTGGATATCCTGTGACCCAAGGACAAGGCTTACAGAAACTCTGGGACTCTTCTCCTTTCTTTCTGTCCTTTTCAGGTCTTGGCTTTGAGTACATTTTACAATCTATGCCTCTTCATTGATCCACTTCCTATCCCTGCTCCTTCAAGGCTCAACTCATTTCTTCTCTCCTCCATATGGCCTTTCCTGACCACCACAACTGCAAAGGTCTTCCTCTAACAGGAGCTCACAGATCCCACTGCCAGTATGGTCAGCTCTCGATAAGCTTTTTTTTTTAAATTTTTTTTTATGTCTTTATTTTATTTTGAGAGACAGAGAAAGAGAACGAGTGGGGGGGGGGGCAGAGAAAGAGGGAGACAGAATCTGAAACAGGCTCCAGGCTCTGAGCTAGCTGTCAGCACAGAGTCCGACACAGAGCTCGAACCCACAGACTGTGAGATCTGGACCTGAGCCGAAGTCGGATGCTTAACCGACTGAGCCACCCAGGTGCCCCTCGATAAGCTGTCTTAAGCCATCTCCTGAACTTATTCCATCCTTTGAGAACAAAGGCCCTTTATCATACCTCTCTATTCCTCAAATGGCTAGTACAATCTGAAGCACAGAGCAGGTGCTAAATGTTAAAATACTGATAGGTGAATGAACTGAAGAAAGCAAGGATGGGCCAACCATTTATTTGCCTTCCCTTGGGACATTTCAAAGTCACAAAATTGGTCATGAATGTGATTAAAAGCTTAAGGAATCAGGCACTCAAAGAAGGTTTTGACTTGAATCCTAAATTGTGACTACGTACTCTAGATATTCAGAGCTCTAGAGAATCTTCCGTAAAGTTCTACCGTGAAGCCCTCTCTTGCCTATTAGGAAATCAGAGCTGATATAAATCAGTATGTCATAGCATTTGTAAACCAAAACAAATAGTGAATAGCTTAAAAGGAGCAATGCCTCAATGGGCATTTTCAAAGGTCTGATGGCTTCAGGGACAAGGCACGTATGAGGTATTTACTACTAAAGGAGCTACACCAGTGATTCTTAAAATCTGGAGGGAGGGGTGTCAAAGACTGGTTAAGAATTTTAAGAAAGATGGACCTTTTTCTTTAAAGACTTAATTAAAAAATACTTTTTAAAGTGATCTCTACACATGGGGCTCAAACCTGTAATCTCCAAGATCAAGAGTCACACACTCCAACAACTGAGCCAGCAAGACACCCCAAAATGGACCCTCTTTAAGAAAAAAGAAATGGGGCACCTGGGTGGCTCACTCGGTTGAGTGTCTAACTTTGGCTCAGGTCATGATATCTTAGTTTGTGAGTTTGAGCCCCCAATCAGGCTTGCTGCTGTCAGCCTGTCAGTGCAGAATCCACTTTGGATTCCTGTCCCCCTCTCTCTGCTCTTTCCGCGTTTGTGCTCTCCCAAAAATAAATAAATATTTTAAGAAACCAAAAAGGACACATAGAGGGAGACAGAAAGTACAACAGTGGTTACAAGGGTAGCGGGGAGGGGAAATGGGCATAGGGTTTCAGTATGGAATAATGAAAAAGTTCTGGTGGTGGATGGTGGTGATGGCTGCACAATGATGTGAATGTACTTAATGCCACTGAACTCTACACTTAAAAATGGTTAAAATGGTAAATATTATGTATATTTTACCACACACACACGCAAAAAGGAGTCAAAATGAACAAGCTTCACAGTCAACTTTGGACAAACGTGACACGTGTGTGTAAAATATAAAAATGCATGCAGTTTATTACACTAGATAATGAACAACTATTCAGTCACACTGAGGGTACTGACTGATTAAAAAGCTTTGCTCTCCTTGAAGGCAATGAGAAGTAACAGAATAATGTCATGTACCTTCTGGAAATCTGAAAAGAAACTCCAGTGTAAGAGAATAGGCTTTGTTCAATAAGCAATCATGAATTTACAAACATCACTTTGAAATGCCTCAAGCAGACTGGAATGTATCTGGGTGCTGTTAGAACTCAAAAATTCACAAATGTTGCCAGAAGAAAATGGCAGGCTGGGCAGGCAGATCTAGCAAAGAGCCTTCTCTTGTCTGTGCTATAAATTCCAGTTAACACCTATCCATAATCTTCAGGGCTTTTGTTTTTTTTAAGGAGTGCTTTCGCATCTACTTGGGGATTACGTTCCTGATTTTTTCTCTCTACTTAGTTTGCTGCTAACAACTACTGGGCCCAACTGGATCCCATGGTTGGCTCTTTGGGAAGCTGTGAACACACTTAACATTAAGTGATAGTAGCATTAATGTTCAGAAGTGAAGGGGGAGAAGTGCTCCAACACATGTCGGAGATTAACAAGGCAGTCAAATACTTCTAATCTGATAGTGCTAAGAATAAAACCAAGTGCACCCTAATGCTGTCATTTAGAGCCCTTCAAAGTCAGCAAGGGAAGAGAAGCAACAACTATTTTGAGGGCAGTTTTGAAAAGGATCCCAGAATAGCAACACCCTTTCCCCATCCCAAAAGTGAAAAGGACTGCTAAGAGAGATGGTTAGTGTACACAAACTCTGAGAGAGCAAAGACCACACTTAGATTATTCACTGTGGAGCCCCACTACCCAGCACCACACCTTGCAAACAGCAGGCATGTAATTACTTATTCACTAAGTAAATCTTTCAGAGCGCTATCCCTTCTCCATTCTCGAATAGGACTGTGTACTCTCCCTCCCCACAGAAATCACCTCATCTCTGGCTTGTGGACTCTTTCTGAGAGGCACTTTCATCACTTCATTTAACTTTGAGAGAAGTTGGAGGAGGGTGAGGACACGTGCTTGCTAATCATCCTTTTCCAGATTGCCTCATGCGCCAGAATGGATTTTTATTATTGGTCTGTGGCTGTTACTGCTGTAGAAAGATTTCAGCCTGACCTTCCCAAGCTGCTGGGGAATGAATACTGCACGTGGCTGACAGGGAAAATGTGTCTTCCTTTTTTTTTTTTTTTTAATTTATTTATTTATTTGTTTATTTTTAAAGCTTTTAGACTAACCAGAGCTCACTGTGGTAGGAAAGTCACCCTTTCTCTTATTACACAAAACTCAAGATGTTGAATTCTTTTGCATAAAAATAATATAGTGAAACTGATCTGAACTGGTCCAACAGGAAAGAGGTAGCATCTTGAAGTACCTCAAAGAGAGCAGTGGCATCAAAGAACAGGACTTGGGGAAAAAAAGAAAATGAAAACTATTTACAAAAGCATTTTAAATAAGAGGATGGATTCTCACAGCTGTTCTCACAAAAGAGAACAAATATGTCAAAGGGAACAACAGACTAACAGAGTCCTATCCATCTGGCTGAGGAAAGAGCCGCTGCAGGGAATACTGAGAGGCCTGTTAGGGAAAAGGCTTGCCTGGTGCCTCACTGAGCGGGCTATTGAATAGCTTTTAGCAACACTGGAACACATGCTCACCCCATAGCTGGCTGGCTCTGCCGACAAAAGATGCAGAGAAGGGTTTCACTGATAAACTGGCAAAAAAGGGAGAGCACATTTTATTGGTTTGGAACTTATACCTTTACTCTCAATTCATGACTACCCTTGCCCTCCAACCTGGGAATCAAGTAGGAGAGAAGGGAGACTGTGTAAACAGGATGTCTCAGTTGGTGCTTTTAAAAGCAGAACTCAAGAGTCTCATTCTGAAACATTAAGTTCAATCCCATGTCATGCTAAAGCCCCATCTGTACTTTTATATAATGCAGAGCCGAGTGCAGGCACTTAGGGAGAAGGGGAAATCAGGCCAGACTCAAGGAAAACAAACGCATAATGCTATCTGCATCTCCAACTCAGTCCATACCATAGAAAAACCTGCTCAGAAATAATTGCTCACGGCAAATAGAACTCAATTACTAAGGAAAATCTGCCCCAATGAGGGCTCATATTTTAACAAGCCAAATAGCATCAAATTAAGCTGAACTCAGGGTTTTTCTAATTGTCGGTTTTATCCATTTCTAAGTTCTCATTTCTTATTTTTTAAAAATAAAAACGACTCTCTGCCTAAGATTAAAAAAAGAAATGCCTATCACCCACTCTAAAATAATAATTCACCAAATTTTCACCTACGTATCTTCTATACAATTAATGTACCCCTCCTATGGACAAAAGCAGAAGCCATCACTCTATTTAAAGTACTATCAACAGATCCCTTACTAATTGCTCTTAGCAGCCTGACTCCTCCCACCAGAAGCTCAGTCACAGAATACCGCTGCTATCAAAGAGAAGACAACTGCTTGATCCCAGCCCCCAACTCTGGGGAAGGTTGTGGCTTACCTGCTCCTCCGACAGTTGGGATATGTGATTCACAGCAGCATAGGATTCAATTTTGGGGTTAAAGTGATTGATGATGGCCCTGAAAAAAAGAATTAAGATTAATATGGCATCAGATGGAAAAAGCAGGTAAATGAATTAAAAATAAGTACCGAGTACCCCCTGGTTTAGAGTGTGAGTACATGGGAGTGATTGTCAGAGGGTAACTATCTTTTTATTGAACATGATGTCACATGAGGGTGAACGGATAACTCTGAAACAAGAAGTGTTTAAAATGTATTAGATAAAGAGGAGAATCAAGTGTCTCTGCTCTGCAAAATGAACCAGGGAGAAAATCTAATAACCAAACAAAAAACAAAACCAAGCATCCTTCAGCCAAGAAACAGGACCCAGGGGGCTGTCCACTAGGGGGCCCTGGTGTTTCAGTGAGAAAGAAAAGTAGTTTTCTTTGCTCTGACTTGGGAAAACAGGGCACTTGGTAAAGATGGGCCAACATGTAGGCTAAAAACAGTCTTTGAAGAAGCTGGCTTTATCAAAGCCTAGAACCAATCTTCCTACTTGTTAGTTAATAATTTCAAACCAAAATGTTATTTCCAGTCATTCAAAATCTGACTGTCATTTTCAAACATTTCCTCTCCATCACCCTCACATTCAAGGTCATCAAGTCTTATCAAATATAGCTCTTAAAAAAAATCTTTGAAATCTGGGGGCGCCTGGGTGGCTCAGTTGGTTGAGTGTCTGACTCTTGATTTCACCTCAAGTCATGATCCCAGGGTTGTGGGATTATGACTCACATCATGGACCCACATCAGGCTCCACACTGAGTATGGAGCCTGCTTAAGATTCTCTCTCTCTCTCTCTCTCTCTCTCTCTCTCTCTCCCTGCCCCTCTCTTCCCCTTGAACCCGCTCTCCCTCTCTAAAAAAGAAAAAAGTGTGCCATCTGAAACCAATCCTTCAGTGTATATATAGGTCCTTGTCATCTTATCTCATGTAGCAGAAAAAGCACAGGTTTCAGATCAGAGTTTAGCATAAGTCCAAATTAATACAAAAATGATTAAATAAATGAGAAGAAGAGACAAATTTTTCTTTCTTCTTTTTTTTTTTTTTTTAGAGAGAAAGCATCTTAAACAGGATCCATGCTTAGCATAGACCCCAACACAGGGCTCGATCCCACAACCCTGGGATCATGACCTGAGACAAATCTTTCTAAGAGAACAATTTCAAATAATATGTGTGGATACTCTCCCCTTTAGGAGGTGGAGTTAAATTCCCATTCCCACTGAGAGAAGGCTAGCCTTAGTGACTTATTTCCAAAGAATAAAATGGAGTAGTAAAAGGGGAAAACGGTAACTTTACAGTAAAAAATCTTGGCAAATACTCTATTATTAGCCAAGTGATAACGGTGAACATTGCCAGTGATTCATATAGCATGATTGTGGTATTCACGTAACCTCCGGTATGATTTTTTGAGAAGGGCACTTTACTTCTGTTCTATACTTCCAAAAACCCATGACTTCAGTCTAATCCTGAGAAAAACATGAGACAAAACCAGATTGGGGGCATTCTACAGAATGCCTGACCAGTACTCGTAAAGATTGTCAAGGATATAAAAAACTATACTTGAAGAATTGTCACAGACCAGAGATCTTGGGGAGACATGACAACTAAATGCAACGTGATACCCTGAACTGGATCCTGGAACAGAAAGAAAACAGAAAGATAAAATGGTGAAATCCAAATAAAATATGGAGCTTAGTTAACAGTAATGTATCATTGCCAGTTTCTTAATGTTGAATAAACGTACCATGATAATGGAAGATGTGGGAAACCTGATCAAGGGGCATGTAAGAACTCTGTGTATTATCTTTGTACTTTTTCTATAATTCTAAAATTATTCCAAAATAAAAAGTTTATTAAAATATGTGTATATGTGCACGTGCACAAGCACGTCAATGTATGGTAGCACAAAAAAAGTTAATATTTTCTTTAATATAATTTACTGACAGTATAAAATTCTTGAAGCATTTCATCTAATATGGGTAATAAAAGTATAAGCCAAAACTTAAAAAAAAATGGTCTGGCCATTTGTTATTTTGGATTTTTGGGAAGCTATATGTCTCAGAGGAAAAAAAGTGGGAATAACACCTACCTTAGCACTTAGTACAGTACCCAGGAATAGTACATTGTAGGCATAAAATAAATGTTTGTCGAAAGAGTGACTAAATCTTAAAAGGATTCTTGCAACATTTATGTAATAAAGCAATGTCAAACATCTAGCACAGTGCCTGGCACATAGGTGGTACTCAATAAATATTCAATGAATGAATACATCAAACAGGACAGTAATGGGTCAGGAACAGAGGAGAATTCTGGTAACTTGTTTTTCCAGAGACTCTCCAAAAGGGTAGAGATGTTATCTGCAAGTTAAGGTTGTAGCTTGGTCTAAATCCAAAGTGGGAAAGAATTTGGACCAAGCAGGGGTCAAATATTTTTCTCACTCAGAAGGTGAAATTTTGAGGATATTGGCAGTGATAACAACAGTCCAGGCGCAGAAAAGGAAAACGAGGAGCCTAAATGCAATGAGAAGACAAGAGAGGAGGTTTAGAGAGGAACTGAGAATCCCACCAAACCTAGCAGCAGTACCAAGTTAAAGCTAAGCCAGTGTAGAGTGAGAGTCATAGGGTCTAGCATCCAAGAGCGACAAGAATTCAGAAAATAAAACACAGTAACCAAATCAATCTGTTAAAATCTCAGTTATTTTATGAAAAAGAATTTGAACTCTGTAAATACATTCATTTCATGGGTTTATAGTGGTCTTTTTTTTCAGGTTTTCCTTAAATTTCTTAGTACAATTTTTTAAAGTGTTTTTAAAAGATCCTGACTCAAATGAAATAACTAGGGTTGTCTGTGTTCGTTTGCCTAGGTTTGGAGAACAGAGAACTCCAAAGTATCCTAGTATCCGTCTGGGTGGGAGAGTAGCAGCTATGGGGCCCAGATGGCAACCCAGTGAAGCCGGTGAGGTCTGGACAATGAATCCCTGGGAATGAAATTAATGGGGATGCTGTAATTCCATTTCTTTCTACCTGAGGAATTCTCTCACCAGGAAAGAAAGCAAGGAAAAAGAAAAGAAGGAAAAGAGAAAGGAGAAAGGGAAAGAAAGAAGAAGACAGGGAAGGAGAGGGGAGGAAGGATGGTAGGAGGAAGGGAAGATAAAGGGAATGAGGGAGAGAAAGGAAAAACTTGGAAGGTATTCTCCTCAAAAAGTATACTTATTTATTTCCTTCTCTTCCCACAGTTATACCCGTCAAGTGTCAGCTGGGTCCGTGGATGGTCTATATCAGTAGGGCATGCATGGCGATATTGTTTGAGCAAATTCATCCTGAGGGTATGACAGATATGCCACTCTGGGAATTTGGAATGAGGATAAGATAATCGTCCAACCTTCCCATGACACTCCCATCCAAGAGCCTCAGATCTCAGCACGCAATTGAAGCCTCTCACCAGGAATGGGGAGGGAATTTAGAATTCCGACAGAAAGGGCACCTGGGTGGCTCAGTCTGTTAAGCGTTGGACTTTGGCTCAGGTCATAATCTCATGGTTCATGAGTTCGAACCCTTCTGCACCATCAGTGTAGAGCCTACTTGGGATTCTCTCTCTGCCCCTGGCTTGCTAGCTTGCTATCTCACTCTCTCTCTCAAAATAAATAAATAAACTTAAAACAAAAAAAACAAAAACAAAAAAAAACCCAACCCTGAGAGAGGTGGAACAGTGTAAATGCAGTTAGCAGTCCCTAACCCAGTACCACAAAGGGCATAGAGTACATATCTCTGCTTTATTTTTCTTGCTGTCTCTTTGGGACAGTTACCTTTGACATCTGAGTACTAATCTGATCTACTGGATCAGATCGACTGGAGATGTCAAGTAACTGACATAGGGCACTAAGCCTAAGAGGTAAGAAAAATAGTCTGACACTGGCTGTTCTCTTTCCAGGCTCTTTAGCAAGGAATTTCAGAGAGGGCTTGGAAGCTTCCTATTAAAGTTCTCAGGACTTCATACTGTTGAAATGGAAATTTCTTCTGAGATAGCAAAGAGATGACAAAACACTGAAACCAGGCTAAGACCGCCCACACTGAGTGACACATGCCTTTGCAGTAACTAAAATACTTAGCTTCTTCCCCAGCAAGTTTGCAGCCTACTGGGGCTCACCTGGGCTGTGATTCCACACTGCCCCACCTGGCCAGGTCCTAGAACAAGATTTATGCCTGACGAGCTCTCAGTGGCAGAAAGATGAGGTACTATATTTATAAATGAGGAGCCTCTCTTTTCTTTAGGCTTTCCTTCCTACTGAAAGGATTTACTACTATCTCCTCTGAACATTTTTTAGTGGTGGTGGGGGGGAGGGTGTCTTCTGACAGATTCTAACAGTAGCTCTCTCATTTTACTGATCAAACCTAACAGATAGCAACTGTCTAATGCCTAAGTATAAAATTTGAGTGTTCCAGAAAGAAGTTATGGCAACTTCTCTCTGTCTCCTTCTCTCCCTCTCCGCCTCCCTCCACCATGTAAAGACACAAGGCAGAAAGTAGCTGTCAAGGAGGCCGGAAGAAAAGTCCTCACCAGAAAGCGACCCCTCTTGAACCTTGATCTGGTACTTCTGGCCTCCAGAACTGTGAGAAAACAGACATCTGTTTATTAAGCCACCTGGTCTATGATACTTTGTTACGGCCACTAAGAAAACTAATACATGGGCATTCTACTCTCCACTAGACCCTGGCATTTGGGCAAAGGATACTCCAAGCCAAAGTCAGTCTCTAGCAGAGCAGATAGTAGTAGAATAGATAAAGTCTGCTTCTCATTCTGCAGGTGACTTCCTCTCTCTGAATCCTTCATATTGTGGGTTATTATTTCCTTCTCTTCTTGAAGAGGACCCTGAGGTTCCTGTGCTACAAAGTTCCAGTCACAAATGCCACACACGTAGCTCCATGGGTTACCAGTTTTTTCCCAGGCAGAGTGAGCTGGGCCCTTTAGCCTTTACTAAGTGGGAAACACAGACTTCAATAAAGAAAGATCTTGCAGGGGTT